CTGCCTCGGATACCCAAGGAGGGGTCGCTATGAGTCGGGGACAACTCGATGGCACATAACAACAACAACAACAATCCACTTCTGTATAGTTCCTTTCAAAGCTCAGGGTTCCAGGATTATCTTCTGTATCTCTGTCAATTGGTTTTTCTTTTCTCTGTTGAAGAGGGTCTGTGTTGCTTGTCTGCCTATTCCTCCATCTTACCAGAAGTCCCTGAATAGATATATTCTCATGTTTTATCATATCAGGGAAGTTCTCTTCCAACAAATCTTGGACAATTTTTTCAGTGGTTTTCTTTCTTTCTTCCTGTTCCGGAATTCTGATTACGTGTATGTTATTCCTTTTAATGGTATCTCACGTGAACCGTAGGCTTTCTTCATTTTGTTTTGATCTTTTTTCTGATTGATCCCTTTGCAAAGAAGTATTCAGGGATTTGTCTTCAATCTCATTAGTTCTGTCTTCCATTGATTCAATTCTACTCTTTTGCCCTTTCAATGTGTTATCTATTTCTGAGAATTTAGTAGTAATCTTCTGGATTTCTATTTGTAGATTTTGTATCATTTCTAATTTTTCATTTATTTTGTCATTAGTTTTTCATCTTGTTCTTATAATTTCTTCTGAAATTGTTCTAGGATTTTGTTTTTTTTTCCTTAATTTTGTCATTGTTTTCCTTGACTTGTCTCTCAATCCTTTGAAGATACTGAAATATAATTCTTATGCATTCCTTATCAGGGAGTTCCAATGCTGCTTCTTCCTCAGGGATGTGTTCTGGGTCTGTATCCTGCTCCTGTGTTTTTACCACTTTATGTTGTTTCTTTGTGTGGACTGTGATGTTCTGTTGTCTCTGAGACATTGTGATGCTGTTGTATTTAGGTCTCTGTTAACTGTTCATGAAGAGCAGTAAGGATGAGTCAGCCTTTTCTTGTTGGCCTTTGGAGAAGGAAGTGGTGGCTATCACTCAGTAAATGGAGCTGCAGGAAGTGTCAGTGTGGTTGCATTGTTTGGGCATGGTTGCTGTCTCCCACTCAGACAAAAACAGCAATCAAAATACCATCATAAAAGTAAAAGCCAGAGGACAAAAAACACTGCATGAAACACACAGGAAAAATAAGAGGAAAATATAACAACAATAAATGTTGGCCCCCACTTGGTAGGTGGGGGCTGCAGGAGGTACGGGTATGGTTGGTTGGGTTGTATGGGCATAATTGCTGTCTCCCACTCAGTTAGACAAAAATAACAATTAAATCAAATACCAAAAAAGTAAAAACAATAAGAGAAAAACACAACTGCAAAAACGCACAGGGAAAACAGAAAATAAGGAAAGGGTATAAATGAGAAGAAATGTTTAAAGAAGTACTTTAAAAAGACAAAAGAAATTTAACTAGGACAAGGGAAAAAAAAGAAACAAACCCACAATATATAGGGGTTGAGTTATAAGAAAAGAGCAGGACTAAAAGAATAATAAGATAAAAATGTGAAAACTGCAAAAAGTAAAACAAATAATGAGAAGAACCAGAAGAAAAATTAAGATGGGGATCAGGAAAAGGGAAGAGGGAAAAAAAAAAAAAACAAAACAACAACCCAATAATTAGAACCTAGAAGGGGAAAGAGAAAGAATAAAAATAAAAGGAATTAAAAAAGAATAATTTAGAAAAATCAAATCTAGGGGAGTGGGGCAGGACACATAGGCTCTGTCAGAGCACACAGACCAGGGTGGGGTTCCTTCCAGTCCAGAGGAGGGGTGGAGATGAGGGATAGCTGCACCTCTGTTCACCAAGAGGGTGTGGGGTATAAGAGTAACAAGGGGAACATTGCACCTTTCCTGTCAGAAGCCTCCACTGTGGTTGCCTGTGCTGCCCTTCGCAAGAGGAACCTATTCTTAGGTTGCTAGGATTGGAATCTGGCACTTTAAATATCCAAAATGGCTGCACTCCTTGTAAATATTCAAAATGGCTGTGCCCTCAGGACTGCCGAAAGCCCACAGCTCTTCTTATTTGCTGTTTTCCTTTCTAGTCATCAACTTCCAGTGTAATTGTCCATGCAGCCCTTGGCAGTCAGGGCTAATTTTTAGGTTATCGCCCAATAACCTAGTAATTCCTCGGAAGGAAGATGGGGCAATCTACTTCCATAGTGATACTGCCTTGGGAACCCAAGGAGGGGTCACTATGAGTCAGATCCGACTCATCAGCAGTGAGTTTGTTTGGTTTTTGGTGCCCAGGTCCTAATACCACTTATAAATGTTCAAATTGGCCATGGTGTCAGGATAGCCAGCAGTCTGCAGCTCCATTTGTCTCCTTATTCACTGTTTTCATTTAGTTTCTTTTACTATTTGGTATTTAATCCATCTGTATCCTTCCTTTCAAAGCTCTAGGATTGTCTTCTGTATCTGTGTCAATTGCTTTTCTTTTCTTTGTTGAAGAGGGTCTATGTAGCTTGTCTGTCTATTCTGCCATCTTACTGGAAGTCTTCTATCATTTAAGAGTAAATTAAAAAGTAAATATAAGTTTCTTCTTTAAAACAATTGTAATCAGTGTCAAAATGCCTTACTATTGAAAATAATTTACGAAATCGTGGTATATTGTTATCTTTTCCTTCTCTGTGCATTTAGGTATCTTATGTCATTCAGGCTGAAGGAAGAGAACATATTATTCACTTGGAAAGGAACAAGTAAGAAATTTAATTTACTTTGGTTTTTCAGTTCTTTTTTTCTTTTTTTTTAAATACTATGTTGATGTCTTTTCTAGTTAGATATAGTAGTTTAGTGGATTGATAAGAATTGAGAATAATGAGAGTAGAAGCATGGAAAAACCTATATTATTTTGAGTTTCCATTGACTTCACATCAGGAGAAAGTAAATTTAAATTAAAATAAGAAAAAGTTATATTTAGGAAGAGAACTTTTTAATCATGATTGGCCTAGGGAAATAATTGACTCTTGGTGAAAAAGCCTGTAGTAGTCTCTCACCTTCTCTTTTTAGTCCCTTGTCATTTTATCATGTTTTTAATCTGATCCTACCACAGTTAATTTGTGATCTTTGGCTGGTTTTTTCAAATGCCAAACTTCTGACTATACTGAGCTACCCATTTCTGTGGCCTGTCCTATTCTTCTTGTTGTTGTTGTTGTTATGTGCTGTCAAGTCGGACCCGACTCATAGTGACCCCTCCTTGGGTTTCCGAGGCAGTATCACTGCGGAAGTAGATTGCCTCATCTTCCTTCTGAGGAGTGGCTGGTGGGTTTGAACCACCAGGCTTCTGGTTAGCAGTCAAGTGCCTTAGGCACTGTGCTACCAGAGCTCCTGTCCTATTCTTAGGATCCCCTTTATCTCTTTTTGTATCTAGTAAAACTTCCAATTTCTTTAGAGAAATGTTCCAGAAAAATAGCCATCTAATAGGCCCATTTATACAGAGATGTGAATGATGGATTGTAATGTATTATTTTATAGGATAGTGTCCCTTACAATGTAGTCCTGGTACCAGTAGTGGTGTCTAGTAGTTTGTAAGAAATGTAAATTTTCAAGGCAAACCCTAGAGTGAATCAGAATTTTGGGAGATGGATCCCAGAAATCTATGTTTTAACAAGCTTTTCAGGTGATTTTTATGAATCCTCAAGTTTGAGAAGCACTGTTTATCTTAGAAAGGAGCTCTGGTGGTGTAGTGAGTAAGGCATTTGGCTGCTAACCAGGACAGTGGTTCAAACCCACTAGCAGCTTGGTGGGAGGAAGAGGAGGAAATCTACTTCCGCAAAGATTTACAGCCTTAGAAACCCAGTGGGGGTCTTCTATGAGTCAGAATTGACTCAATGGCAGTGGGTTTTTCTTAGAAGAGGATGTTGACCCAAAGGGATCGAGTCTTCTTTGATGAATTTCAGGCAGTGTGAAAGACATTTTCAGAGAGGCTTCCTTGGGCCTTTTGCTCTACATTTATTGAAGTTAACATTTATTGAGCAGTTTCTATATTACCCACACTATACTACTGTCATATGTATTAGTCATTTAAATTTCACAAAACCCTGAGTGATCCTGCTTTACTCCAATATGAGTATGCATAAAATTTTCATAGGTCTAAATATTTTCTCCTGCTCTTGCTTACTAAAGGAGTTGGAAGTTAATTCAGATTATTGCAATACAATAATGATTCCTTATGCTTGCATAGTTTTTAGCTTATAAAACTTTTTCATAACTATTATTTATCATATTGTTATAACAACTGTATTATAGAACTTGGTTCATGGTCGTCATTTTATGCATAACGGCACTAAGTTTCAAGAAGTTTAGTTGACTAGATGTAGTTTGTGTTAAAGGTGGGAGCCAAGTTCAAGTCATTTGAAGTAATGAAGTAATCTATATATTCACCCTAAACCTACTGCCACTGAGTTGATTCTGTCTCATAGCGACATGACCCCCATTGTGTTTCCCAGTTGGTAAGTCTTTATGGAAGTGGATTGCCTCATCTTCCTTCTGTGGAGTGCCTGGTGAATTTGACCCACCAACCTTCCTGTTAGCAGTCAAATGCTTTAGGCACTGCACCACCAGAGCACCTATATTCATACTAGTAATCTGTTTATATACACTATGTCTGGTTTATATTTCTGTGCTTCCTGAATCGGTGAACCAAGTAGTAATTTTACAGGCGTTCATAATGCCTTTGTTGGGGCTTTGACTGTCTCTGCAAGGTGATTACCAAAGCTAGTGATCACTAATGAAAAAAAAAAGTAGAGTAGATAGCCTAAAATAAAATGGCTCGGATACAATCTAGTAATGAAGGTATTATGAAAATCAGTAAAGGAATGACTATACGTGAGTAGTCATGTAGAGCCATAGACTTTACATGAGCTCTGGTGGTGTAGTCCTACGGCATTTGATTGCCAACCAGAAGGCTGGCGATTTAAATCCACCAGCTGCTCTGTGGAAGGAAGACTGGGCAATCTACTTCCGTAAAGATTTACAGTTTTGGAAAGCCAATGGGGGTCGCTACAAGTCAGAATCGACTCGATGGTGGTGAGTTTGGTTTTTTGGTTTTTTACTTGAGTGGGAGGAGCCCTGTTAGTGCAGTGGTTAAGCACTCGGCCACTGACTGAAAGGTCACCGATTTGAACCCACCAACCTTTCTGTGGGAGAAAGATCTGGCAGATTGCTTCCATAAAGATTCTAGCCTTGGCAACTCTGCGGGCAGTTCTCCTTTTTTCTATAGGGTCATTGTGAGTCAGAATCAACTAGACAACACTGGGTTTGGTTTTGGTTTTACCTGAAAGTGAATGCTTGATTTCTTTTCCCATTGTCTCTACAATAGTGTTCTTAACTTATTTTAGGTTATGAGCCCCTTGAGAGTCTGGCTCAAGTTATAAAACCTCCTTGTAGAAGAGCTTACACAATCACTTTTATGTTGGGATATTTGGTGGGGGTGGGGTTTGTGGGAGGAAAATAACCCCCCTGTTCTCTGCCTATAAGGAGCTCTTGTGGTGTAGTGGGTAAAGCATTTGGCTGCTAACCAGAAGGTTAGCGATTCAAACCCACCAGCTGGTCTGCAGGAAGAAGATGAGGCAATCTACTTCTGTAAAGATTTACAGCCTTGGAAACCCAGTGGGGGTCGCTATGAGTCGGAATTGACTCAGTGGCAGTGCGTTTGGTTTTTTGGTTTTCTCTACCAATGCTGAACAAATTTAAAAATAAAATAGGAGATTACATTAGATAGGAGATCAAAATATCACTTTCATTATGATAAAGACTAGATTGGCGGATTTAGCTTAGCCTGATGGTACCTACTAATATGATCCCCAATATTAGACAGATTTAGCTATTCACGTCAGTGTTGCACAGTGGAAGGAGCACAGAACAAAGCCAAGCATCTCCAGTTTTTTCTTTTCAGATTTACCACTGGAAGGAGCAAAGGATGTTTGTGTAGTGGGGTGTGTGGAGGAAGAAGCAGAAACAGTGCTTTGAGTATACAGGATCAATTAATTGAAAGGACTCAAGAGAAAGATAGATATTTGTTAAGGAGTTTCAAAACTTCCAGGCCACCCCTACCCCTGACCCAGGGTCCTTTCTTAATAGCACTGGGGTACCTTCTCATTAGATTACAAATCACTGAGAAATGTGTGAGCTGTCTTACTTCCAGGGGAGCCACTTTTTAGGTGCTGTAGAGTCAGCTGTAATTAATAGTGACCCCACAAGCAACAGAATGAAACATTGCCTGGTCCTGCACCATGCGCCCAGTATTTGCTATGTTTAATCCCATTGTCGGAGCCACCTTGTCAGTCCATCTCATTGAGTGTCTTCCCCTTTTTTTGCTGACCCTCTGCTTTACCCAGCATGATGTCCTTCTCCAGGGACTGGTCCCGTCTCACGACATGACCAAAGTAAATGAGATGGAAGTCTGGCCGTTCTCTCTTCTAAGGAGTTTGCTGGCTGTATTTCTTCCAAGACAGATTTGTTCATTCTTTTGGCAGTCTGTGGTATTTTCATTATTCTTTGGCAACACTACAATTCAAAGGCATCATTTTATTTATTTATTTTTTGGTCTTCCTTATTCGTTGTTCAGGTTTCACATGCATATGAGGCTATTGGAAATACAGTGGCTTGGCTCAGGCGCACCTTAGCTTTCAAAATGACATTTTTGCTTTTTAACACTTTAAAGAGGTCTTTTGCAGCAGATCTGCCCAGTGTAAATCAGGAGGCCTAGCTATAAGTTTACCAAGGGGTCTTTTATAGTAAGCTGGCCATGTAGCTAAAGTCAGACTGTATAATTGATTAAACAGGATGCAAAACATCTGTCTATCCATCTCTAAACAATATAGACAACTTGTCCTGGATGTTTCCAGGGGAGTCCTGAATTTTAAACAGCATGTTATAAGTGACTAGCTAGCTCATTGTATCCCTGACTTGTCCTTTAAGCCCTGAAGATAAGCGCACTGCTGTTCCAGTTCTGCTATAGCATAACACTACTTCACACATGGGGTTGCACTCCTGAACTCCCCTTGGTATAGATGGAATCTTCAGGAATCAGGGCTAATTGTTTCTTCTAATAAGTGACACAGAATTTTTCCTCTGCACTTAGGATGTTGAGGCATTGAATTATTCTTGTTTATATAGTACTTTTAGAAAAGAGATTAAAAATAAACAACAAAACGCCTTTGTTTTTTAGAAATGTGGTATATACTGTGAATAATCTAATTTAAACTGTTCCTGTAAGATGTATCAGAAAAATTTACAAATATTACTTATGTTGTATCAAGTTTTTTCAACCAGTATACAATGACCATTAGAACAAACGTTCAGTTTAACATTCTTTTGAGTAAGTAATGCATAGCATTGAAGATTCAAGTTCATTGATGAGCCTTTAGTTTTATTGTAGCCCATTCTTTCTTTTTTTTAAAGTTTTATTGTGATTTGGGTGTAAGTTTACAGAGCAAATTCATTTTCCATACAGCAGTTCACATATACTTTGTCTCATGTCATTGATTGCAGTGTCTCACAATGCAACAGCTCCCCTCCCACTTCCTCCCTATAGTTACATCTTCCCTGTGTCCTTCCCTTTCATGAACTCCTGCCCCCTAGCTGTCTTCCTGTGCATACACAGTCCTTCTATTCTCCCATAATTGATCTCTTCAAGGAGTATATCTACCTAATGTAAATGTTGAGCTCATATGTCTTTTGTTTGGCTGGAAGCCACAGGAGTGGGTTCAATTTCAGACCTCTGAAGGGTATCTGGGGGCCATAGTATCAGGGGTTACACCAGGCTCCATCAGACCAGCAAACCTGGTACCCCTACCCCCTTTTTTTTTCCAAATGATTTTGAGTTTTGTTCCACATTGTTCTCCTACTCTATCCAGGATCTCATACATAGATCCCCCTCTGAGTGGTTGACAGTGGTAGCTGGGCACCATCTAGTTCTTGTGGTCATATAGGCTGAGCATTGCATGGTGTACCAGTCACTTGGACTAATTATTTCCATGTGTCTTTGGTTTTCTTCATTCTTCTTTGCTCTGGATGAGGAAAGACCCATCATTGCATCTAGATGGCTGCTTGCAAGCTTTTAAGATCCCAGTTGCTACTTGCCAAAATAGGATGTGGAACAATGTTTTTTTGTAGTATGTTATGCCAGTTGAGCTTGATGTCCCCTGTGACTATGGTCCTTAGCCTACAGGTCCAACTGCTTACTCTCTCTGGGTAGCTTGGTAGCCCATTCTTTAAATAATAATTTATCATGTAAAAGTTTTTATTTATTAATCTCTTTGAGGATTAATTTAAGGATTATTAATGTCTTATGGTTTGTGTCGTTAGTTGTACATAGGTAAAATAATTCTAAATGGTGTGTTTATTCCTCTTTCAGAGACCTTTTGCCTAAAGATTTTGTAGTTTATACCTACAACAAGGAAGGGGCTCTGATCTCTGACCATCCTGATATACAGGTAATATATTTTCCTCTTTATCCTGTAGAAAGATTTAGAACAACTGTAAGTTTAAAATGCAGGTACTCGAGATTGTTAAATTGTACTATTCCAAAGAGCACCATTCACAGTAGAGTATGTGTAGTTGTCCTAGGGTATTTGTGAGTATGCTTAGGTAAAGTAAACTGCAACACATACCTCTCCAGGTACTCAATTGTTAACGTGTTTTTTGCTTTGTTTTTGAAGTCTAGGAAAAAATAATCTTCTATGTAATGATAATCCTTACTTGTTTTGAAGAAGGAAAGTTTGATTTTGAAAATAACAATTTTTGATTTTTCTGCCAAAAGATAATACACTCTTTGAAAGCACATCTTACTTCCTTATTAAAACATTTGATTTGCCATTAGTATTTAATAAAGAACAAACATTTGTTTGCTATTATATGTTCTAATGTTCTAATTTTTAGCTCAAAACAATTCTTCCCTAAAGAGGTGTGGTCCTCTCTTCTTCAGAGAGAGAGTACTCTTGGGGACAGAACTGGCCAGGAGTACTGGTAATAATAGGCAAATGTCACTTTTGGCTTCATGGGTTGTTTAGATGGAGAAAATAAGCATTTTTAGTTTTGTTCAGGAAGAGTATTTTATACCCTTTTTGGCAGTTTGGTACTATATTTTTTTCTTAATGTTTGAATAGCTTTTATAAGAAATCTTTGTTCCTGTTAAATACACCTTTTTTTTTTTGTAATGTTTTACTAGAATGAATTATGTTAGTTATGTACTTTGTAGAACTCTTTAAATTAATGGAAGGTACACTTTTATTTAGGAGCTCTGGTAGCATAGTGCCTAAGGCACTTGACTGCTCATCAGAAGGCTGGCGGTTCAA